TCTTTTATTAAACCTTTAGATTTTATCGCCATATGATATGAAATATTGAATTCTTCTATAATTCTTCTTACTGTCCAATTTGATGGTAATAATGTTAATAATCTATATTTGTTTGTTATCGAAAGCTGTGGGAAATTGATTTTTAAGGTATCGAGAATTTCATCGAATTTTTCATCATTTGATAAAGATAATGGTATAATTTTAGTCGCTAAAACTTTTTTCACCCTAGATATTTTTTTCTTTGGATATTTCTTTTCACGTAAGCGTTTTATTTTAATGGGAGATTCCCCAATTGATTGTAGGGATATATTAATGTTTTCAATTGCCTCTTGATTAACTATATGAGGAGGAGAATCAATATCATTGTCATTATAAGGAAGCTTTGCTAATTTTTGTCGGCATGAAGTGCATATTAGCATATTTAAATTGATTGGTAAAAATTTTTTGGTCACCCAAGGTTGAATCTTTCTTAGATTCTTGCGATAATATGCATGTTTTTGTAAATTAAATGGGTTACAACATCTTGATATTTTAATATTTGGTATATCCATCTTTTATATAGAATAAAATTTTATTTAATTTGAACCTAGAATATGGCTTGTTTAAAATTAATCTGATCGGAAAAAAAATTATATTAAACAGAAAGAGAGATTGTTTTAAACTTTTTATTTTTTAAAATATTATTATCGTAAAATATAATCGATAATATGTCTAATATAAATTCTTTTTTAATGCAGCTGTTATACATTATCGTGCCAAAAAGTCATTCGCTATTATAGTAGTAAAGCAGAGATCTAAAATATGTAAAAAAATTTAAGGATGGTGGGGGGGGGGGGAGTAGAACTGGAAAATTTTACCGCATTTCTTATAAACTTATAAATATTTTCATTTTTAGAAATAATATTTTTTTTAAACATTAGCGCCATCTATTTTTTTTTACGATTTTTGATAAAAATGTATATTTTGGAAGAGTCGATAGCGTCGCCAAGGTTTTGACATCATACATATATTTATAAAAGGTGTCTAAATAAAAAGCAATAAAAAAATTTCGAAACAAACTCCCTTTTTTGCTTAAAAATACAGGTAAAGCATTATAGGTAAACCAGAAGTTAAAGACTCAAATTGGCTCCAATTTTTATTTTATTTTGATAGTCCTTTAGAGATTTTTTTTAGCTACAATATGATATATTATATTATTTTTTACTATAAATAGTTCTTGAGATATAAGCATTTTACCGAAATAACGTGTTAGATATGATAAATCAAGGACGTATTGGAATGGTAAAAGAAGATGAGATCAAGGCAATATGCGTGGGAGGCCTAATATAAAAAAGATGTCGAAATATGGATCGAAAAATGTAGAGAATGCCAGGAACAACACGATATGCCTCAAAAGACATCAATTCAAAACTGGCAACCACCAAAAGCATGGCACCGAGTATATATAGATTATGCTGGACCATTTCAAAATCTTTATTGGTTGGTAGTGATAGATGCTAGCAGTCGTTGTCCAGAAATAGTTCCCATGACTAATACTACAACTGAACGCTGGACAAAAATAGTAAGAAATATTTTTCGACAAAATATTAAGAAATATTTTTGCCAGATTCGGATTTCCTAAGATAATCGTTTTTGATAACGGGTCACAATTCAGCAGCAAATAATTCAATGATTTTTATAAAAAAAACGGAATGCAATCAGACTAACGGCATAATGAAGAAAAACAATGGGAAAAAGCCATTATTAAAAGAAGATATGAAGTAAGTATAGAAGGTAAAACGATTATATGTCATACTGATCAATTAAGAAAAAGAACCGAAAATATATAAACTGAAGAGATAGAAGAGAGCACCAAAGTATGAGAGAACCGAAGAGATAGTAAACAAAGAGGACGTAATAAACAATAACGATGAAATGAATTTAAAGGAGAGGGGGGAAGTAGATACAAGTCAAGATCGTTATCCGAAAAGAGTACGAACGAAACCAAATAGATTGGTATAAATGATATGTATAGAATTGTTATTTTTGTATTTTTTGTAAAATGTTTATTTTCATTATTATATTATCATATGAATTTGAATAACAAAAACAGGAACATTATTATTTTGATATGAAATAAAAGAAAATTATAAGAATTATTAATTGACTTATATATCTATACTAACAATTCACTACAGGAAAGATAGTTAACCTGACTATTTAATTCATAGTAAAACAATCAAAAGCTTCAGTAATGTATTTTCATCAAATGAATAGTTTTAAACAATTTAATTCAAATATCAACGTTGATTACATAAAAAGTTGTAATACACTTCAAAGTTAGTATTGTTAAAGTAACTAGTTACGTTTTTGTAAAAAATAACAGTAAAACTAGTTATATTTTCGTATTACTTTTTGAAATATTCATATATATTCAATGTTATATTTTTATAAAAATAATGTTTTTTTTCCTAAAAATTTTTAATTAGACGTTAAAAAAAATTATTAACTTTTACTTATTTTCTTTCAAATTCTTGTTTATAGTGATAAATTTTGGGGAGAGATGCGGGTGGTAGTGTAGAAGGAAATATATATTCGCTTAAAATGATATTTAAGAGAACAGACAGATTTCCGAAGCGGGGATTTTACATCCCTGGCTACGCATAATTAGGATTCTGACTCGTAATTTAATGAGGATGACATTCAAATGATGAAAGAGATTATACCATACCTTTCTAAAAGCTATACCAAAACAACAGACTTAGATGATAAAATATCATACAAGCTTCAGAGTATTTTGTATTTAACATAGAAAATACTGGTAGTAGAGGCAATATTAGCGTTAAGTGTTTCCTATGTAGTATTGTTAAGATTTAAAAAAGGCCTGATAAAGATTTTACAAAATTATAGCCTGAAGATTTTGCTCATAGATGGGAGAAAGGTTTGGACCTCTATTAATATTATTTTGGCCAAAATCTTAATCTGAGCACTTAATAATTAAAATTACTCATCATACATAATAGCAATATAGGATGCCAACAAGATCTTTTTATATAATTAGTTATAAGAAAGCATATGACACTTCATATGAAAATGTCAACTTTTGTGGAATTTCCAAGATAAATCTGGCCTATCTTTCACATTAAGTGCTCCCACGTTTTCTGACTCTAAGGAAGCTTTTTTTTGAAGAGAAACAAGTCCACTTTGAATATTATATTCTCCAGATTATATAAAATAAAAAAAAATGATGCGTTATATGATTTCAATATAAGTGTAACTAGTAAGATCTGGTATGCAATTAGTTACCTTTTATGAATGTAACTAATTATTCAAATAACTTTTAACAACACTAGTCAAAGTTAGGCATAAAAAATGATCTTTTAATTTTAGCATCTAGATTTTGGAAGATTCATTATAATTCTCTTATTAAATTTTTAAAAACAAATAGAATACTATTTTTTACATTTTATTGTATTATTTTAAATATAAAATTATTTTTAGTCTTTTCTCCCTACATTAAATATATTTTGATCAAATTTAGTAATAGAATTTTATTAATAATATTGATTTTTATTGGCCAACTCTATTTTAAAAACATAAGTAAAGTTTACTTTAATAATTTTAACTGTTATTTTAATAATTAATGTTATTTTATCATTTTATGACAAGGGAGTAGGGGTGGGACCAATACCAATATAATATTGGTTAACAATACCAATACTAATATAAACCAATATATATTTAAATATTGGTATTGCTTTTACAACCAATACCAATACCAATTACCTAAATATATTGGTTTTGATATATTGTTTAAATACAATTTTAACCAATACCAATATTAAAATACCATAATTATTTGGGTTTATCGTGGATAATTATATCGTGGTATTTTTTTTTACTTTCATTGCAAAAACTGATTACATCTGTTATTTCTTCCAAATACTACTGTGATATCAATATTTCTGTTATTTATAATTATAGTTTATTTTTATTATGGAAGTAAATTTTTTACATGATATCTATCTATTTAGGATATTATGATAAATGAAGACCAAATAGAGTTAATAAATATAGATGTTGTTGGTACTAATAATAATAGCGATAAGGAACAAGAAGAATTATCAATATCTAATAAAAAACGAAATTCAGCAAAAATCTGGGAATTTTATACTACTTGTGATAATAAAAAAAGGCAAATTGTAATAAATGTAAAAAAAAATATCATTTCCCAATTTTGGAACCTCAGGATTATGGACATCTTAAACATCCACCCAACATTATATAAGAAATGTGAGCAAATAAATATTGGCAGTAAAAAAATTAAGACAATAAAATCATTTTTACTTAATAATATAAATAATAAAGCTAATTTAAATAATTTAATTATAAACTTTTTCATTCAAAATAATTTAACCTTTTCAATAGTTGAGGATATCACTTTTAAAAATTTAATAGCATATTGTAACCCTTCACTAACATTAGTTTCTAGAAAAACACTAAAAATAGAAATTATGAAACATTATCATAGTTCTTTTATCAATTTAAAAACTGTACTTTCTAACATTACATCTAAATTTTCCTTAACAATGGACATAAATAAAATACCCTTTATGGGTATAACAATTCATTATATTGATAATGATTTTAAATTAAATAATCATTTATTAGATTTTATTCCTTTTAAATCAGCACATAATTCTATTAATATTTTTAATTCTGTATTAAAAGTAAAATTTGAAATTGATTTTTTTTGCATATTAGACAATGCAAGTAATAATTTAGCATTTCTAAAAATTTTAAACAAAAAGTAATTTTGATAATGTGTGCAAATGCTTTTGCCATATTATACATTTGGCTGTCATTGGAACCCTTAAATACAACTTTAAAAAAAATAATTTTTTAAACTTTTTATATCTAAATTTAATAAACTCGAAAAAATATATCTTGAAAAAAATTCACACTTAAAATTTCCTCACCCAATTTTGGATATACCAACACGTTGGAATTCAACATACCAAATGCTTGAAAGAGCAATATTGCTCAAACCATATTTGACAACATATACCAATCATTTACAAAATACCAATCAAGAAAATTATATTAGTGCCTTGGCCTGGAATAATATAGAAATATACAGAGAATTTCTGGAACCATTTAATTTTGGTACAGAGATGGCCTCATGTGCTAATACTCCAACAATTATTCCTTTATATTCCAGTATTTTTGAGCATGTGCTATTTTAAAGACAGCTTCTTTAGCTGCCTTAACAAAACTTAATAAATCTTATAATTATTATAAACACCTCTTTATTATTTCAACAATGATTGACCCAAGATTTAAACTATCAAGTCATTTATTAAAGCATAATATGGAAACTCTTATTGGATCTTACTAATGATACAATATTTATAAAATAAATAATAACAATTCAGCGGAACTTACAAATGAAGCACAAAATAACAAAAAATTATCCTTTTATGACAAAATTTATCAGGTGAAACCTCATAATAATAACAATTTAGAAATAAGTAAATACGTAGATGAAGCCACAATTTCCATTGATACAAATCCATTAGATTGGTGGAAATTAAATAAAAATAGATATCCAGTATTATCAAAAATTGCCAGAGATTATCTAGCAATTCCGGCCACCTCACCTAGCTCTGAAAGGACTTTTTCAGAAGGACGGTATGTTATAACAGACCAACGTTGTTCACTAGATGAGCATACTATACAAGCTTGCCTGTGCCTAAAAAGTTGGATGTGTATGCAAGATTCTTCTTAAATACATAAAATTATTTCCTCTTCTATATTAAAGTTATATCATTCTTTTGCATTATATTTTATATAGATAGTTATGTTACATTTTTAGTTTACTTATTTTGCTATATTCTTTGTGATAAATAAAATGGTTCAAAATCAATACGTTTATTATTGTTGATACAAAAAATACATGATTAAATCAAAATTTTTTATATTCACATCACCTAATAAATTTCTAGTTTAAAAAAAGAATTTGAATTCAGTAAAATTTTGAGTTAATTCTTAGCCCTGATTTTATGGTATCATGATTTTTTTTCCCATGTTTATTTAAAATTAGAAATTAAGGATTTTATAATCACTATTTCTATTCTTTTAATTAGTAATTTGAATTTAAACTAATACCAATATAAACCAATAGCAATACAAGAAATAGAAAATATTGTTTAAACCAATACCAATATTTTAGACCCAATACCAATACAATATTTTGTTAATATTGGGTTTTTACTATTGGTTCACAGCCCTACAAGGGAGTCAAAAAAGGGAGAAATTATTTTAAAATGTATAATGTGATTAAAAAAAATATATAAATTATGAGGTAAATGTTTATCTAAGGTTATATTAATATTATATCATTTTTAATTAATAAAAAAAATGGTGCATAAAAAAGTTTTTATTTATGCTTAATATATCAATGCCAAAACAACTCCAAAAGACCCTTATAACCTATGAGCTACTAAACAAATCCAAAATTTTGCACACATATATACTTTACCTAAAAATGTTGCTACTAAAGAATTCAAGCACAAATATCAAAAGAATTTTAAGTAATAACGTTTTTATAATAATTGGGGACTAGTTCCACCTTGTGCAATGAAGGGTTAAATTAGTAACATCCAAAGATACCAAAAAACAAACACATCATTTCATTTATTAATAATATCTTATCAAGCCCATTTCAACATCATAAGTTTTTAAATAGAGTAAATAAATATAATATAATAAATGGGAAAATATAAAAATCATTGATATTATCAATGTCATATATTTTTGAGTGTTAGTTTAGTCATGGTAGCATAAATTAAAAAATAATTGCTATATTTAGAAAAAATTAGGATTGGGATGTTGACATTGTAAATACTTAGTGCTGTATCTGTATATAATGAAAGAGCAAAATTATTTTGATATTATAAATATAAATATCATATTAAACTTTTCTATTAAAAAGATATTTAAAATGTATAGGTAATAAAGTATAAAACTGTAATGTCTCATGAAATAAAATAATAATAAAATTATATATAATCATACACAAGTAACTTTCACACAAACTCAGAAATTTCCTCCCATAAATAATAGGTAACTTTGATAAATAAATATTCACAAAAAATTGGTTAGTTTTTTTGGTTCTTAAGTTGGTTGGACAACCAATCTAAGCCTTCATATAAGCCATCTCCTGTAGTGGCACAAGTAGCTTGTATGTACCAGTTTCTTTGACGAAGAGAGTGTAATCCTAATTTATCAGTTATTTCTGCAGCATTCATAGCATTAGGTAAGTCCTGTAATCAAATTAAAAGTATTCAATTTCTTTAAAGACATGAATAAAGTTATATTTAATTCATTTGATAAAATATATCTTTAAAGCTAGCAATATGTGCAAGAATACTATTTAATACCATTGCTGGCAAATTGAATAATTTTATACTTTATTTTATTAATGTTATTTCTTATAAATAAATAAAAATTATCTATGAAAAAATGTGAAACTAAATGATATTTTACTCTTTAATTAACAAACCTGTTTATTTGCAAAAATGAGCAAAACGGCATCTCTCAATTCATCTTCTGCTAACATACGCATGAGTTCTTCTCTAGCTTCTCCAATTCTCTCTCTATCATTACTATCAACAACAAATATTAACCCTATAAATAAATATTATAAATTTATGAAATATGATGTATACCTTGTGTATTTTGAAAATAATGTCTCCACAAAGGTCTAATTTTATCTTGACCTCCAACATCCCATACAGTAAAACTTATGTTTTTATATTCTACAGTTTCAACATTAAAGCCTGTTTTTTAATTTAAATCAAGGGCAGTAGTTATTTATAAACAAACCTATAGTTGGTATAGTGGTGACAATTTCACCAAGCTTTAATTTATATAAAATTGTAGTTTTCCCTGCTGCATCAAGTCCTACCATCAATATCCTCATCTCCTTTTTCCCAAAAAGACTTTTTAATAAATTGGCAAATATGTTGCCCATGTTGTATTAGCTTTTATAAGTATAAAAATTATTTTAAATTAAAATTGATTTTTACAAATTATTTTACATTTTTACCTTAGAATTCTGAAAAGAAACACAATGCGTAATATGGCGAAAAATACGACACGTTTAGATATTAAAATTTGATTTAAAATTTAAAACATATTATAATGGCTTATTGTTATATCCATTTTATAAATTTGCATAATATATTAGCATATAATTTTAATAAATTTAATTAGTTGCATTTTAATAGAAGTATATAGATTTTAAGAAAAAAAACAACTTTTTATAATCTTTTATATATCACTTTCCTATTCCCTATACTATACCTATGCTAAATATATATTAAATTGCTCTCGAAATGTTTATAAAAATTATGTTGATATTTAGATATCTCCATGTATAGTACTATGTAATATTACAAATGGAATTTGAGATAGTTAAACATATATATTGTGTCAGCAGGCGTTTAGCCAATTTTTACTTGTAGGAAGTGGAGAGGGGTAACTTTTTTCTAAATATCATAATGGCTTTTTGAAAGCGAACAAAACATCATATAAAATTAAATGGGGGTCGGGGCAGTACTTAGGATAGCAACTAGTGATCTGCATCAAGCCTAATTTTTCAAGCCCGGACTGGCCCGAATTTTTTTAAAAAAGTTTTGCCGTCCTGACCCCTACCTTTTATAAAAAAATCTTGCCAGTCTAGCCCGAACCCGATTATTTTTAAAAAGGCTCGAATTTATTTAAATATAGAAATTAATTTTTATAATTGCGTCTAGTTTTTATAAATAAAATCAAATAACTTTATTTTACATAAAAGTTTTAACATATAATTCATATATTTAGGTATATTTAAAAAAATTTCAAGGCCCGACTCCACCCAAATGTTTTTAATAAATATTAGGCCCGACTTGGGCCGGGTAGATTTCTAATAGCAACCAGGGCAAGCGCTCTGAGCCATCGTCCCGATTCTAAGCTCCTTTTTTTGGGCCAAAAAATAAAATGCTATACCCAACCACCTCCCCCCCCCCCCCCCCATTGAAAATTTATGTGATTATTGGGAAAATATTTTCTATATTTGTTGAATAAATTTTTAAAGTTAAGAATATAACTGGAGATAAATAACTAATATGTATTGTTCAAACAACTATCTGTTTAAAAAATCTATATATTCATGTTTCTGCTTAAATACCTAATAGTGCCAACAGCGTCTTAATGTTGCAATGAAGAACAAGGATAAATATATTTGTGGGGTTCAGGAATATAACATAGTTGCTCGGCACAATATTCCTTACAGTAATTGCTTTAATCATAGATTTCATTTAATTTATAATGATACTCCTGAAATGATCTCTGAAATGCAGGATTTCTTAGACAATCGTTCTCATTTAAATAAATTATGAACCTAAATCCATATTTGATTCTTGCCCCATCGCTGGTAAGGGCTCTATGATGACACATTGTATTCCTATAAATTATAAAATGATTATTAATATTCTGTTTAATAAGAAGGTGTAAAATATAACTTGTCCTCAAATTGCAGAAGCTTATATGCTGTTTATACAAATTATTAACAAATAATTTATTTTTATATATCCTTCCTTAAAAGAATTTTTAATTTTTAAAAACCTATTTGATGATATAAGTTAATCGAAAAATATTTACTTTTCTACAAAACCGAGAGATTTTTCCAATTTTTTGTAACTCATTATCAATTCGAAAATAATTTAAATCAAGATGACATTTTAAAAGTCTTTACTTTAATTTTGATTGGGTATATTGAAAAGAGGCTTAAGGCAGCAGATGAGTTATTTAGAAAGTTTTGATTGTATTCTTTTGATACTCCATATTTTTTAAACATAAATAAAATATTGGAAATTTGCAATATTACTTAAAAAGGTTTAGTAAATAAAATTGAGGTTGTTAGAAAATTATTTGTAAATAGTTTAGAAAATTATTAAGATTGTGTACACCAGATTTTGTCGAATTTCTAGACTCATTAAAAGAGGCAATTCCATGTTTTTCAAATATTCTGCATCAGTTTAATATTTGGACCATCCACATTAATTTGTGAGTCCATTATTGAAGAGAATTGATACATAAGATAGACTTTCGAGTAGTGATATAAAAAAAGGACAACTTGGTTTTATTTGAGTGCTCACAGCCATTGATTAAGCTCTATCATGACAGTGTCTACATGGAGGGAGGAGAGGAATAGGAGACAAACGTCTCCAAAATATATTGGCATTTGGGTGGTAGGTATATTGTTTTGGGGTAGATAATTTTTGAGGGTGTAGGCATTATTTTTAAGGGGTAGATATTAATTTTATTTGTTTAGTTTTTTTTTTTGGGGGGGGGGGGTAGTTTTTATTATGATTTATATTCTTTTTAAATCAAATAATTGATAGGATTGTGATGTTTATTGTTGATTTTATTCTTAAAAATGTCTATTAAAAAGAGATCTAATTTTTTTATCATATTATTTTACTATTTCACACTTCTAATTTTAATATTATTCTTATTTATTACTTTTCTGAAAGCATAGTAGTTCACTTATGATTATTTTATTAATAAATTTCAATCCCATCCTTAATATCAGTTAAGAATATAATAAATCATTAAAAATTTTATCAAAATGCTTTTTTCAATAGGTAAACAAATTTTAACTAAATTCTTTATTTAATAACACTGTGTGACAAAAAAATGGGAGAAGAAAATAAAAACAAGTTTTGGTGCAGAATTTGACGCTGAGTTCGAATTCGTTTTTCAAATTTTCCCTACACGTAAAGTTTTAAAAATATTACCGTATAAAGACAACTTTTCGAAATCTCAAAAATGGTAAAATTTAGGTCTTCATACGGATATATTTTAAAATGTATCGAATAAAAATCCCTGAAAATTGGTGATAGTGTTAAACTTATATTTTTTATAAATCTAATTTTTATAATTTTGTATCGATTGGTTTTTGAGAAAAATGGTAAAGGATTTTGTTTTGGGGGTCTTAAGTTTTCAATTTAAATTACTATCAAAATTATTAACTTTAGGAGATAAATTTTATACAATTTTGCTTCAAATATGCTCAAGATTATATATTAATTCTAATTATGTTTCAAAAGTACTCTATGCCATGAAAATTAAACCAAAATCTATATATTAAAAAAGTCGGTACAAATTTTTTCGAACTTTTTAATTTGTACACTTTTATTGATTTTTTTCTGCATTAAGCATTTTTAAAGCAAAATTAAGGTAATATTTATGTTTTTTAGTTGTATTTAGTAATATTTTATGCATTTATGATCAATTTATACCAAAATCAGATATCTGTACCCACTTTTTTAATTTGTACTCTTTTTGATTTGAGCATTTATGAAGCAAAATTTATTTAAAATGCAATAATTGGTAATTTTTTCATATTTTTTATTAATATTTATCTTTTTTAGATATATTTAAGAATGTTTGTTTTTTTAATCAATTTATATCAAAATATATGATTTTCCAATGGAGTACCTTGAACCCATAGTATGGGCAATAAATAATAATGCCAAATAACGAGTAGGAAGAAAGGAAAAGAATTATTTTTTTTCGCGCTTAATTTTTCATAAACATTTAATTTCTTTCATTAATTTTTTTTTAAAATTGGATTTTAAATATTATTCAAATTCCCTCCTTATATAATATTCTACAAAAATTAATGCCGAGGTCCCCTTGTTTAAAGTGTGTCTCTAAATTTTGTTACATCTGTGTGGGCTATATATTGCCCCCAAATGTTCAATTTCTCCAATCATTCAAAGGATTTATGAAATTTATTACAATATTCCACTCTGCGATTTTGGATAAACCATTTGCCCCTAATTACATATGTAAAACATGTTATAATTCTTTTAATTCATGGGTAAATGGAAAACGGTCATATTAGCCTTATTCGAAACCTGCATTTTGGCACGTAGCAAGAAATCATTCGTGGGATTGTTATTTTTGCTCGATTAGTACATTTGGGTTTAACAAAAAAAATAAGAAGAAAATTCGTTATCCTGAAATTTCATAGGTTATTTATCCGGTAAAATATAATAAATAAATATATTAAATATAAGCTATATTAAAAAAGATTTTATAAATAAAGGTAAATTTAAAAAATATGGGTTGTTTAAAAATTGAGTAAGGATTTTATAAAAAAAAATGTATAATAATAATAAGGAAGGTTTGCTGCAAAAATTAAGATATTTTTTTAGTTGTAGGGATCATTAGAACCGAAGTTATAAACCTTCAAAAAGTGCATAATCTTTTTGGCCACTTTAACCTAAAATAAATAAAAACCCTGACGTGCTAGAAAAAAACTGACAGCGGATTTAGAATATGCATAAAAACCGGTCTTAAAACATGTTTATTTTATTTTCTCCCAAAAAATCAAGTCGAAATTTGTCACAACATCCAAAGTTATTGAAGATTCCCTTATTATATTTTCTTCTCATTCAATGATCAATCATGAAATGACCCAAGCAGCTCTTTCATTGACAATTGATTATTAGCAAGAATTAGAGATGAAAATCTTAAATTAAGTCTATTTATTACGAAAGAAATATTGAAATGCACACATGAGGCTTGTATTGAAACGCATGCAGTTGGTAATGATTTGGTTATGGTAACCAAATTATCAAAAAATAATTTAACTAAGAGGTAAAGGCGCGTAAGCAGCGGGGGAGGGGGGGAGGAAAGCACCCCCCTCCCTCCCCCCACAAGCCAAAAAATGCAGATTCCGGATATATTTTTGAAAAATATTATTGTTTATATTAACTTTTATTTTATAATAATTATTCCTATCTCTTTCTCTTTCTTTTTATTTTTAAATATATATTTAATTACGTTTATTTATCACATTCATTTTCTACGTTATTTTATCAATTAATATCTATTTAAAGTTTTCCTTGGAGTAATATTTATCTATTATTTTCAAATTTGTAGTGGCGTAATATTTATCTATCATTTTTAAATTTCTAGTCAAATAATAATTATGGACATAAGAAATTTTTTTAAACATATTGATGATGATGAAAATCCTAGTCATCCTAAAAAAAAGCAAAAAAGTATAAATAACTTTATAACATTTAATAATTAGCCTAGAAAAAAGACATATACTTTTTAAAAGGTATTAAAGATACTGTTGACACAAGCGGGGAAATTAGCGTGTCCCT